GTTTGTCAGGTGCGGTGTTCGCATCTTGATTGATACTGAACCATGAAGTCAGTTTTTTTGTATTTTCGACACTTGCACTTTCTTTACGCTTTTTCTCAGCCCTTTTTTGATGACCGCTTGAATATGTACGTTTCATATTGTTTCAATCGATTTCAAACATCAAACGTCCACGAAGAAAACAAGAATCGTGAATATTGTTTTTATGTGAAGTTAGCAGCGCTTTCGAAACCCAGCAGTGTGAGTAATTCATACATGTGCGATGAACACATGTGTGGTTTTTGAAATAAAGGAGATAGAAAGTTTAAAACGGATATCCTGCAGGATATCGATTTTTATCGATAGGATAGGATAGGATATCGAAAATTACGATTTTTTAGTAAAACTTTTTAGTTTTGGGGGCCCCTTTGAGGTCGGGGGCCCTGGTGCACCGCCTGCACCAGCCTCGCTACGGCCCTGATTGCCAATCAGAAGCATCTTATTTTCATTAGGCAGCCATCTTTCATGGTACTAAAAATATGTGTTAAAAAATGGAGCAAACAGAGATGTGGCTAGGGGCTAGACGCGGAGGCTGCTGCCTGGGGCACAAACCTCGGAGACCCGCAGAGCCCAAAAGAATTTTTAATACAGTATTTAACAGATTTTGGTGCATAATAGTCACTGCACTTATCACCTGCACCCTCCACGGCGGCGGCGGTGTGCGGCCGACGTCGTACGCCGCGACGGCGGCGTTAAGTTTAGTTATGCACAGCCCACACTAATCCGCAACTTTCATTTCGCGTGCCATTTTTCGCCAAGGTTCTATCAGTATATTTAATAATATCTTTTTCTGTATAAGCATTTTTTTAATTTAAAATGAAATGACGTTAGATAAAACGAAGCAGTTTACTATATTTGTTAAAAAAACTTTTTTTTGGCATGTTTGATCAGGACCACTAATTTTAATACCCACCCAGAAATCCGGATTTAACATTTATTGATTGAAATACCACTTTACATATAACGATTCATTTTCTTTGTATTAACCCTTAACAACTGTATGCAATAAAAATATGTGTGTTAATTTTAACCAAATATTAAGCAGATTTTTTGTTAATCCAGGTCTACATAACTTTATGTTAAGTTTACAACCAACTGTAATCTGTTAACTAATTGAATAAGTAGTTTGTAACAAACATTTTGTAGATCTATGGCCGTAAATTTTTGCACGACATGGCAACGCAGTATTTTTCTTTCAAAACTGTTGTTTTAAATTGGGTAATTATATTTCAACGTTTATATTTTTCCTAAAAAAGTCCATTTCTATACATAGACATTTTAAATTAGACATAAAACAATTAAAATTTCATCAAAATTTATTTGAAATTTGTGACATTTGCTTTTAACCATAGAAAATAATTTCGCTAATATAAGTCATGGTTTACTACATTTGTTTTTGGCCAATAAAATCATCTAAACTGTAAATCGGTCTATATAATTTAAATCAGTCGTTAACCACCGATTTAAAATATGGATAAAAATGGACAGTATTTTTGTTTGTAAATATATATAAAAAAATATATTCAGAAGTTAAACATACCGATTATAAAGATATAATTAAAAAATAACATTTTTTTAAAGATAAAATTACTACCATGTTAATTATATCAAGTATCTTTGCTGTTTTTTTATCCGATGTAAAAGCTGAATGCTTGAAATTAATTGATTTATAACTTTCTTTGGTTTCATTGTAAAATAATTACCCCTAACATTGAACTTGGGTGAAAATATTTATTGATTATTTTTTTATAATTAAAAACATACATACCTTCCATAAATATTTACATTTTAATATAATACCTAGATAATTAAATAAATACTATTTAATAGATAATAAGAATAAAAATAAAACCAAAATTGTGTTGAAAAAATATTTGTCTTATTTTTTAAACGCTTTTGAAGAATTTAAAATTCTGCTTTTAAATTTTTCAATTGTGTGCTTCCTATTCGAATAGAAACAGTAGGTTTTGGGTAAAGGGCTTAACAAGGTAGAAGGAAATTTACACTATTTATTTTTGGGCCCAGAAATATACTATTAAACATAAAATAAAACAAAATTAAGAGGCAACAACATGGGTATTTCAAATTGAATATACCTACTATAATATTATTAACAGTTTTTGCCAATAATACAAGTTCAAAAGGCATTTTATAAGAAAATAAAAAATACACCCTGTAGGTAAAAACAATTGTTTTTGCTCAAAAGCAAGAACAGGCACAGTGTATGAAACTAGTTTTGTTCAAATTGTTTGTATCATTTGTTATATTTATTTGACAAATAATTAAAAATATGCTCTGAAACAATATTTTTATTTTTAAAATAAAATAAACAGGGTATAAAAATCTGGACTAGAACTGCAACAATTGAATTTGCTTTATTAAAGTAACAGTTTTTAAAATTTGTGTACCTATATTTTTCAATATAAATTATTTAAAGAACAAAGTGTATAAGGCATGCATAATTTTTTTTATTGGGTTTAATTTATCCTTTTAGAAAAGCAGGGATTCTTGCCCCATTTTCAGCAAGGGCGTAGCCAGGATTTTGTTCAGGGGACAGGCAAGGGTAAACTATATGCATGCTTCAAAAAGTTTCGAGACTCCACCTCCCACCCATTTTCTAGAACAATTTTTCTGGACATGCAATTTTTGAGTATAGTTCCCTCCTTTTGATTAAAAAAGTTTATTCTGAACCCATAATTTATGTATATCAAGCAAAATATTATGTTAAAATTTTACAAAATAAAATTAACAAACTACAAACTCGTGTTAAGAAATCTGATTTTTATAACAGTGTAATTAATAACATAGTTTTAAAGACTGCATAATGTTCCGTTAAAATAAATTCACGCAGATAACTAAAAAAGATTCGGCCAAAAAAGTGTATTCAGTTCACGTATTGTGAAAATACTTGAGCAATTGGGAAATGTCAACCAATCTACTTCGCTGTCAGAAGCAGATTTCTTTAAAATACTGCACTCTAGTTTAAGAAAAACGATTTGCTCCGGCATTATAATGTGTTGTCGGCGTACCGGAAGACATATACAGTCGGAATCAATTTAATATTTTTACGGCGGACAAAACGTTTTTAAGGGACAAGAATCATTTTTGCAATTGCGGAGTGTTCTTAGGTTTTCTTTTTTTTTTGGTTTCCACGACGACTTTTACCTCAGTATTGCCATTAGACTAAACATACAAAATTATATTTTGTCTTTATTAACTTAAGAATTACTTATTTTCTTCTTGGAGTGGTAATTTTATTTGTTTTGTAAAACTCAATCTTACGAGAGCAACACAACAAAATTGAGGATTAAAATGAATCCCAAATAAGCCATTAATAATTATACATAAACATTCTAATCACTTACTGGAAACAGACTAAGGTAAGCAGACAATTAAGGTAAAAACTTTCAATTGTAATATATTACAGGGTATACCCCTCAGCTAAAAAGAGGTAAAATATTTCACATAAAATAACAGAATAATAAAATATATTGTGACGATTGGGACTCCACCAGTAGTGATTTGGGACTGCAGGGTGACGAATATTTTCTTATTTCGTGATATCTCCCTCGCCTGGAAAGCACACCACTGGGCTTGATGGTGTCATGTTCTAAATTTGCAATAAACCGCCGACATAGTCCTAGTTCATCTTCAAGTCCGCCATGATGAATTCTTAATGCCCGCGTTTAATTTTTGGAAATGTTGTTGGTTTTTGTGTGGTGTTAAAGTGGTGAAGTGTCTAGTACCATTACATTGTGTCGGACTCCACATGAAAATAAAAAGTAACAAAAATTAGTAAGTATTCTTAAAATATTAATTTAACTAAAATAATAACTAAACTATGTACAATTTACAAGTGCCTATCGCCTATGCCAAAAAAAATCTTAAATATATAAAAATTAATCATCCAAGTTTTTAAAATTTTGCATTACTATACATTATTAAAAAAAAATTGTTTGCATAACTTTAGTGAAGGACTACGTCCCTTTATACCCTATACCCTTAAATTTTTATTTTTATAAATGCTTAACATAAACTTGCAATTTGTTTCTCTTCTTTCTTTCTTTAATATTAACACTACTGACCTAGCCAACAATTTTATTCCTGCGATGGACATGCAACGCATGAGCGACTCGTTGCGCTGGGCTCCCTTTTGTCATCATAGGAAATTGCTAACCCTCACTCCTGGTCATTCCTGGTGTAAGGTCGGACGAGTGTCAGCTGGAATTGATCTGGAAGGTTGATGTCATCTTCATAACAAACGAGGTACAGGATACCTTCTTGTGAGGAACCATATCCAGGGTTTCCAGTATTTTTTGGGTGTTTTATTTTTTATTATACTTTTTCCATTTTTCTTATTTCTTCTTTTACAGATGTACATCATTATTAGTAGCAATATAAACATGACTAGTATTGCGGATCCAGCAATTAAATTTACTACAGTTGAGATTTCTTCAGCTTCTGCTCGAGGTATGGTGGCTGCTAGTACTACTGGGTATCTTTTCATTAAGAGAAATGGAGTCTCCATGGATGGAATATAGATTAGCGTAAGTAGATTCTTTAGCTTCTTCTTATTTATTATATTTCTTTACTAGTGGATGTCAAGTTGATATGTGGAACTGTGAGTGACCAGTTGGATAATAGGCACTCCTCGATATTTACAAATGTTGGTGCTTTTTGATTGTAATTAAGATTTAGTGTGAATGACTTCAGGTTTGTCTATGTAGCCGGCAAAATGTGACAAATCCTCAGTTCTTCTTCTATTTATTCACTACAAGGATACCTTTTTTCTATGAGAATGTCGTTTCCTACCCTTAAGGAACAGCTGCAGGGTAGTGACAGTTTGATGGCACCTGTATATTTAAGGGATTTTTCTTCTTTTGTTGTTCTTCTCTACACATCACGGTAGTGTTTGGATGGGGGTGGGTGACTATAAATGTATTTTTTCTAACTTGGGTTATAACTTATGACTTGGAAGACAAACATCTCATTGGACAATTTTTCGCGATTTCTTCTACGGTGGCTCCGTGAAACAGCATTTTTACACATTGGGGTCCATGTAGGTTGTCTGATGAAAATCTTGGAAGATAGCATAATTTATTTTCATACGGCTTGCATTGGTGTAGGTTGGTTCCAGAAATGGTTAGCGCTACTTCCTTCTGGTTCCTTATCGCTATTTCCAAACATAAAGCTTCGTGTTGAATGTGACATGTTTGGTTGTGCCAAGCAAATGGAGTTGTTACCAACTCGTAGAGTTGCCATCTGAAATTTTCTCTTCTTATTGGGACTTTTACTGTTACCATTATTGTTTCTTCTGCGATGACACAATCAGTAATTGGTAATTCGTAGTATTTATGGATGTCTTCAAGATTAATTGCTATCTTTTGATCGGCTTGTTTTATATGTTTTTGGAGGTTGTTGGTATTTCGTGTTTTTTGCAGGCTTGTACAATTTGAAAATTTTTTATGTGGCGTCCCGTAGCGATGGTTAACAAGTTGTTAAAAATAAAACTGGATAAATCGTGGACGTCTGCTTCAAATTTATCGTAAAATGTTTCTTTTTGAATTGTCCATATTTTTAACATTTTTTCCATTTTGTTTTTTGTGTTAAACGTTTTCTGAACCTTCCTGGTATGTTTGGATTTTTTTTGATGTCCCATCCAATCCTTTATCAAGCAATTTTATTCTTTGTTTCAGGTCGCGTCCCTGTGGCGACACCACAACACCAACTCAAGGCATCTCCAATGAAGTTGAGGGCTCTTCTTAGGATGTCAAGTTCCTTTTTTACAGAATGACTCAGCAGCACTAGCTTCTCCCGTACCTCGCAAAATGTTCTCTCTTCATTTCCTTTACAATCTTCTCTTTGTAGTTCAGCTTTATTGACGTCGAATTCTTCTTTCCCTGAGCTTTTATACGTTATGTGTATCGTAGCTTCATAAAGCAAGGCTTCTGGTAAGGGCTTCCAGAAGGCCCCTGCTGATATTTCGATGGCAGCTCCTTCGGAATCGCGAGTTGCCAGGGAGCAACTTTTTCTTCAATTTCGTAGGGACCAAACCAAAGTAGTAGCAACTTCTCACTTCTTCCCACCTTTCGAACTGGAGTAAAAACTTTTACTTTGTCCCCGACCTTAAATTCAATGTTTCTGTGTTTTAGGTCGTATCGCTGTTTTTGTATTTCTTGTTGTTTTGTGATATTTTCTACTGCCATATTTCGGACAAATAGAGCCTTTTTTCTTAAACTGTGAGAATCGGTAGGTAATATTGGTTCTCTTCCATAGACCAACATAATTGGCGAAAATCGTGTAGTTTCTTGTATGGATGTATTGTATGCGAAGGTCCATGTTAAGATATTTGTCCCAGTCAGTTTGTTCTGTATTTGTATACATAGATAACATATCAGCAAGTGTATAATTACGTCTTTCGGTAAGTCCATTGCATTCTGGATGGTAACTAGTTGTAAATGTGCTAGTAACTCCTATTATTTTTAAAAGTTCTGTTACTAGCTCCGATCTGAAGACTGTGCCTCTGTCGCTTAATATTGTCCTTGGGGAACCATACTGTAATGGTTCAGTATTTTAATACGTTTTACAAATTTATTTTTAAATAAGTTTGGAATTTCTAAATTGTGTTGTAAAATGTAAAAATCTTTGCTAAAGAGGTAACAAAACGGCCGTAGAGGTAAAGAAATTACAAAGTTTCGTGGAATACCGGAATTTTGCCTGAGATGGGAAAAACGCTGTTGGCCAGATGAGGCGAAAACAAGATCGAAACTGGTAGAGGGGAGCAAAGAAAGTGGCAGAAAGTTTTCCGAAGTGTTAGAGAACGCATCGTTTTCGTAAATCTTTTCTAAAACTACAATTATTGTAAAATTCTGTGTAAACAATTGTTACAAGTGTTTGTGTATTCTCCCAGGTTAGTTCTTAATTTTAGTAGCCCAATTCTGTAGTAAAGTCCACTAAACGTAGAACGATTTTGATTTAAATAAACTGAGCATTAGTTATTTTGCACTACTACGTTTAGTGAATTTTACTCGATATTAACACCTTTTGTTTTAGCTATTTTTATAGAATGTTTTTACCTTTTAAGTTTACTGCTAAATGTAAAAATTTATATTCCTTTCTTTTATTGTCTTAGGCTTAATTTAGTTCTATACTACTCAAATGTTTAGACCCTCCCTCAACACGATTATGCATTTTTTGCGGTAATTTTAAAACAAATATCAGTGTAATACAGGACGTTTCGTTGCTTAAAAGGGAGTATTGACCGTTAATTTTAAACTTTGAATGCTCCTTTTTCTTAGTACGTAGTTTGCAGTAGATACTAAAATACTCTCCCCCGTGAGGGATAACTGGTCACCTAGGTTCTCTAGGTGGCATCGCAACTTTTATCCCGAAACTGCATCTTTACGCGAGTTGTTTCCAGTGCGGACCTCGTTCTCCACAGAGCAACGTTAACGTTGACAGACTAACAGTTAACTGCCCTGTTAAACTAACAAAGTTTTTCCTATTTTTTTTGAACCCGTAGGGGTAGATAGTGTAACGAGCGTCGTGTCATTCCATTTGATTTGCATAAACTTTTAAAGAAACCATGCCTAATCGTGTAATCCTTTGCTACTTCATAGCCGAACAGGGTTTTTTTTAAGCTCTTTTTCCCTGGTCGTATCTCCCTAAGAGCCACCCCTTGTGTTTTTTTTTGTTTGTAAAGTAAATTAAATTGGGGTAAACTAAACACTGTATTTTATTTTTTTGTATACCTAGGTCTCCCAAGTATGATTCTTAAAGCAATGTATTTAATAAAACACGTAAGGAAACACAACGTAGAGGTCCAAATTTTGATAAGACGATCACGAGCCATAGTCACAAAATAGTTCATTTATTAATTTTTTATAAAACTTGTTTTGACGAACCTGGTGTAAGGAGAAATCTTTACAATACCTTGTTATTATTTTTTCTAGAACAAACTTCGCCACATATTCGGCTTTTCCATTCGGCAACCATTGAGTCTCTGCCCACCTGGTGGCATAGTCAGTTGCAACTACGATCATGGTTTTTCCAGATTTACTTCTTTTGAATGATCCTAGTAAATCGATTCCAATTTGGGCGAATGGTGACTCTACAGGTATTGGTTGCAAACATCCTGTTGTCTTAATGGTGGCTCCTTTCCGGGCTTGACAATCCGTACATCCTTTGGCAAATTTTGTTATATCTTTTAGCATTGAATCCCAAAAGTATCTTGTGCAGATTTTGTTATAAGTCTTTGTAATTCCAAGATGTTCAGCTAGAGGTTCGCTGTGATGTGAGTACATTATTTCGGCGACTAAATGTTTTGGAATAACAAGTAAATTTTCTAAGCCGTTAGGTTTTTAGTTTTTCTTGTATAATATATTATTGACTAGTCGATAATTTTTTGCTTTTTCCTTATTCCAATGATGTCTTCTGGGGTTTTAATGGCTGATATTAATTTTATTATAAGGTCGTCTTTCTTTTGCTCTTCTTTGATTTGTTTATTTTCCATTAAAAATTTTGGTATTTCTATGACATCTTCTTCATCCTCCTTGGTTCCTTCTTTTACCGGATTCCTTGACAAGCAGTCGGCATCCGTTTTTGTGAACTATTGAGTACTCGAATTCGGATAACTTAATTGCCCATCTAGCTAATCGTCCGGTAAGGTCCTTTATGGATTTAAGCCAACAAAGGGCATGATGATCTGTAATTATGTTAATATGTCGCCCATAAACAAGATGACGTAGGTAGCCAAGACTCCAAATGACGGATAAAGCTTCCAGTTCTGAGATCGTATAATTTTTTTCGGCTTTAGTTAATATCCTACTTATAAAAACCACAGGGTGTTTTTGATTATTATTTTTTTGGAGTAAAATGGCTCCAATACCATCTATGCAAGCGTCTACGCGAAGCTCACATTATTTATTTTAAAATGCATTAGTACTGGCGGTGTCATGAGTGCATTATTTACGTCTTTAAAGGCTTTATTCTGTTCTTCTTCCCAGCCGAAGTTTTTTGTGGCTTAGTATAGTAGCTTTGCTATTTCGGCGAAATTTCTAATAAATTTTCTATAGAAGTTGCACATTCCCAGAAAACTATTGATGTTGGAAATTTACTAATTGCTCCTAGTTTTTCAGGGTCAGGAGAGATTCCTTCAGGCGTCACTACATATTCAAGGAGGTTTATACGGTTGGAAGCGTACACGCATTTGGATGGTATTCCCGTAGTCTGAAGAATACTTTGTGTAGTTGGATAAGGTGTTCTTCAAAGGTCTTGGAGAAAACAACGATATCGTCCAGGTACACCATTATTTCATTCCATTTCATGCCTTCAAATATTGTGTCTGCTAAATTTTAAATTGTTGCTGGTGCATTGCATGAGCCAAAAGGTAAAACATTAAATTCGTATAAGCCATGTCCTTGTGCAATAAAGACTGTATACTCCTTGCTGCTTTCTTCTACTCAAACTTGTCAAGTCCAAAGTTGTAAAATATTTTGAGGCTCCCATGTATGTCATGATGTCGTCAATATTGGGGATTGGATATGGTTGCTTTTTTGTTACTTCATTTAATTTTCTGTAGTCCACGCAAAATCGAATATTTTTATCTTTTTTCCTCACTAAAACTACTGGACTAGCCCATGGTGAAGAACTTGGCCTAATGATGTTGTGTTTTTTCATTTCTTCTATCTGTTTTATAATTATTTCTCGTTCTGTTTGAGATACCCTGTACGGTTTACTTTTAATGGGTGTTGCTCCTTGGACATCTATTTTATGGCTAGTCAGTGGTAAATCCCATATTTTTTGTTTCAGTGGCAAAAATGTCGCTGAATTCTTCTAGAAGTGTTTCCAATTGAGGTTTTTCTTTTCGGCTTAAGTTGTTCTTTATTGTATTAGGCGTAGTAGATTGTATTTCATCTTCTTCCTCTATTAACAGTTCGTAGTCGAGATTTTCTTTATAAGATTTTGGGGGTCCAATGTGGCCAATTCAAGAATTTTCCCACAAAATTTGTGGTACTGCTGCCATTGATTTTATTTTTAGTACTGTTAAAGTTGTACCTTGATCGAGTTTTGAAACTAATCCTCTTTTTCTTAAAAATTCTTCGTTGGCGGTAAACTAAGATTTTTTAGTTCTCCCATATTTTTGGATCTCCATAGTTTAACAGAAATTGTTCCGTTGGGGTAAACCTTGTAATCTTTGGATAGTTGTAGCTTTGCGGTTTCATCGTTATTTCCTTCAATTATAGTTATAACATTATTTTCATTTACTTCTTTTTCCATAAATGGTATTATAATTCTTTTGGAT